ACCCAGCATGCACTGCTTCACGCAGTGGGTGGGGCTAATGGCCACGCCTCCTGGTTAATCATTTAAACTTTGTTTGAGAAATGTTGATGACTTCAAGTCTCCAAAGAACCCTCAGACCAGACCTGGACCAGAGTCTGTTAGGACAGCCTCAGACCAGACCTGGACCAGAGTCTGTTAGGACAGCCTCAGACCAGACCTGGACCAGAGTCTGTTAGGACAGCATCAGACCAGACCTGGACCAGAGTCTGTTAGGACAGCCTCAGACCAGACCTGGCCTACCCGGTCTAGGTGGGTCGGGTCCTTGTTTGACCGTGCAGACCAGAAAAAGTGGTTGTGAATTTGGACGGTTTAGCCTCCCATCCTCACACTTCCTTATTTAAAACTGTCCTCCTTTCTGTCGCTCCGTCCACCTTTACTAGTGGAACAAACACGTCCGGTCAGCCTGCAGTGCATTGTGGGATACGCTGGGCTGAGAAGGGCACGCATTGGTCGACCGCATCAGAGGAGTCTTCAGATTTAGACAGCCTCTGGTTGTGACGTAAGCAGCCGACAAATCTGGCCTTCAGAGGACCCGGCCCTGAATGTGTACACAGCCCTGAAGACATGATGCTCACATGTTAGCATGCTAGCATGTTAGCATTGTAACATGTTAGCATGCTAACTTAGCATGCTAACATGTTAGCATGGTAACATGTTAGCATGCTAGCATGTTAGCATGATCCGTCATTTCCTTAAAAACAACTGAAACCATTTTCACTTCAAACAGATCAAATGTTGGATTTAAAAATGTTTCTGCCTTTAAAGACATGTTTGACGTCTGTGTCTTTATTTTCTAACGTCTCTGGAACTGTTTGTTTAAAACAGTGTTTTATTTTTTAATTTTATTTTATTTTATATCAAGTTTGAGTTCAACACTTCCCCTGACCTGAACCCACATGTCGGCTCTTACAGCAGCATTGACAGAAAGTCCTCGACCTTGACCTCCAGCTGACCCCTGGTCCCCGTAAAGACACGTGCGCGTGCACGTGCACACCAACAGATTGATTATGGTGCTTTGCTCAGAAGACACGCACCGTCCACCCTGCTGCGTTCTGACAACACACACACCAAATGTTGTCCGTCTGCTCGCTCTCATTTCCTGTTCTTCATCTGTCTTCCTGTCAGTGAGGCTGCCCCTGTGCACACACACACACACACACACACACA